CCGGGGCGCACATTTTTCCGCTCCTTCTGCGAGCGGGAACTGCAGGGTGTAGTGTAACGACGATGACCTCTAGTATTTTTTAATTACGTTTTGTTTCAAGGGCGCCCGTAGGGCTGCCCTTGAGATTTTTTTCAAGTTGAGGGTAGTGGAACGAGGCCCATAGCCTACGCCTCGTTTTGGCGCCATACTCCCCGCCTGGTTTTGGCGTCATACTGCCCGCCTGGTTTTGGTGCGCAGTAAAATAAATAGTCTCCGGCGGCTTGTTTTGGCGCAGTAAAATAGGGCATCGCCACACCACTCTCGAAATGTGCAAAATGGGAATGAACTTCCCGCTAGAACATGGCCAGATGCATCCGCCATATTTTTGTCCTTTTCACATTTCGAGAGTGGTGTGGCGAGGCCCAAAGTCTCGGCCTCCCTTTTGGCACCATAGGGCCTCGTTCCACTACCCTCGACTTGAAAAAATCTCAAGGGTGGCGCCGTTCCACTATGCCCTTGAGATGTGTTAATCACTATTGAAAAGTGATTAAGGTTCCCGCCTCAAGAAAGTCCCGCTCTGAAACTCGAGGGCGGCCGTAGGGTGCCCAGGCAACTTCAGCCAATTTTCTGGGAGGTGACTTCAATTTTCTTGGAAACGGCGCCAACATGCGCCGCCAGGCAATTCAGCCCCCCGGTCCGGTGCAGGCCGCGAACTGAAATTCGAGTCACAATCACTTACAAGGAGGAAAATTCCCTGACGAACCGGGGCGCACATTTTCCCGCTCCTTCTGCGAGCAGGAACTGTAGGGTGTAGTGGAACGACGACGACCTCTAGTATTTTTTAATTACGTTTGAGATTTTTTTCAAGTCGAGGGTAGTGGAACGAGGCCCATAGTCTCCGCGTCCTTTTGGTGCCATAGTCTCTGTGTCCTTTTGGCGCCACACTATTTCCATTGCAGTCGAGACTAGCTCCCTTCTTGACAACGTGTTCACGATGACCAGGCGCAGCGGACGGCTGGCTGGCGGGCTTGTAATGAATTAAAAAAATCTCATAAATTCACTGGGTAACGGCCCTACATGGACCTAAACGGTCGGTTTGCTCCGCCGTTTTTTTGCTGGACGCCTTTACAGTCCTCGTTCACTTGATCGGGTTGGTGATGATTTGCGCCCACGGGGTCAAGTCCCACCAGCAGCGCTGAGTTTCCTCAACGACTGTATCCGGACGTGTTTGTGGAGGTGTGCTGTTGATGCAAAATCAACGTGATTTCTGTACTTGTCCACAAACACGCTGAGATTCAGGAGTTGAGGAAACCCAACGCTGCTACTGTAGAAAGACTTGGCTCCCGGGCATGATCGACAGCCGCTGACGGACGTACCCAGGGCGTCGTTCGACACTCCTCGGAGCGTCCTCGAGCTTCGAGTACGAATCCTCGGAGTTTTTTTTTATTTTTGGAGGCGTCGTTCCACCTGTACTCGGAGAGTAGCCCCGAGGATGCGTCCTCGGGGCCGTCCCGCGATCAGTTTCATGACATTATAGACGGCCGCGAGGGTGTTGTCCGACCTCCGATTCGGGATGTCCGTGTGCGAGGCGCGGTGGTCCACCAGTCGGACGGCGGCAAGACTTCACGGGCCGTGGAAAATGAAATTGCGAACGCGGGAACGGCCCCGTTCGAAATTCGAAATTCGAATTTTCTCCGCGCGGAACGACGGTGTGGCGGCGCACAGGTGGAAGAACACGTCGACCGGGGGACGAGCGCGCAGGCTTGACGTCGCGTTTCGTACTTCAGCGGCACCGCGCCGCCACCATGTGTACTGTATTCGTCGCAGGCAAAACGAAGCGGCGTGTCAGCTCCTGCGCTCGCCACGTCCATGCAATCGGCGCTTCCGTGGTTCAGGGACGGAGGACAAACGCTCCCATCGCGGTGTAAGTTTTGTCATCACGCCTGTCTTCCACACCTCGTTGTAGGCGTCTTCGATCGTCGCCGTGGACGTTGATTCGCGCAGGTGGGTGGCGGTGGACGTTGCTCTTCCCCGTGGACGTGCGCGAATGGAGGGATGCGATGAGGGTGGCCGTGCTGTGCTGTCGAGGACGGAGAGGACAGCTGTCGCGGCGGCTGCCGTTGCCGTAGTCCGTCGATACGAAGCGGAGAGGTCGGCGGGCCACATGAAGGCAGTGCTTTCCAGGCGGCGACACAGGCTTCTGCTGCAGAGGGTGTTGGACGCCTCGGACTGCATCACGACTTCGGAGGCCGTGGTTCAGTTGTGCGCTGCAATCAGCTCCGGTGTGCTTCCCAGGGCGACGCCACGTTGGTGGATGAGGCGGAGAACTGGCGGGACTTGGGAGGATTTGCGGGTGTGCGATGACGCGACGGATGACTACTTCCGGGAAAAGCTCCGCATGTCGAGGAGAGTGTTCATGGAGATCACCGAAGCCTGTGCGCCTCATTTGCAACATCAGGTCACGTTTTACAGGGAGCCGCTTCAGCCGGATCAGATCGTCGCGTACGCGCTGTATAGGTGGGCAACAGGAGAGTCGTATGACAACAGCACATCATCGTTCGGCCTTGGTAGAGCATCCGGAGTTTGAGCCGTGTGCGATGTGACAGCCGCGTTGTTGAGGGTCTACGGGGACAAGATATCGTGGCCGACGGGGGTGCGTAAACACGTGGTGCTACGGGCGTTTCAGGACAAGGGCTTTCCCAACTGCCATGGCGCAGTTGACTGCACACACATCTACGTGGACAAACCGGCGAACGCTCCGAGCGAGAACTACTTCGACCGCAAGCACCGTTTCTTTGTCATTGCGCAGGTGGTGGTGGACCTGGATCTGCGTGTGCTTGACGTCTTCGTTGGCTACCCGGGCAGCTGCCACGACATTCGGGTGATCCAGCTGTCAAGTTTGTCGAAGCGCGCAGAAGAGGGAACGCTTTTTCGCGGGTCGCCTGTAACGCTGCCGGGAGGGGTGAGGACGAACGGATACATCTTGGGCGACAACGGGTATCCTCCTTTAGAATGCATAGTGGTGCCGTACGGAGGAATCAATCAGCACCCGGACGAGGAAAGGTTCGACAACAAACAGAAGGTCGCTAGAGGTGCTGTGGAGAGGGCGTTCGGGAGGTTGAAGGGGATGTGGAGGCTCTTCCTGCGGTCGCATAAGACGAACTTGGACACTCTACCGCAAAAGTTCACGGCCGTCTGCATTCTCCACAACATCCTGCTCGATGCTGGAATCGAGTTCGACGAGAACTTGTTGTGGGAGGTCGACGAGAACGGGGTGGGGCGGCGAGTGGACCTGGGGATTCATCGTCCACTACAGCCAGTGACGAAGCTGACATAGACGGACGCCGCACACGCGCTTCGCAATGCCCTAGCGCAGCGAATGAAACACATCTGATCGTGCGTGTCGCGCGACTCTGCCTCGCGTACACAAACAAAAGCCGTGTGCGTCCGTCGTCGAGTCGCAGCGCTTGCGTCATTCATGAATGCTCGCAGTTAGCTCGCAGGGTTTGTAGTGGAGGACTGCTCGTTTGTAGGTGTTTGTTGTTGTAGTCGACGGTAGTGTGCTTCCCCAGGTCGTGGGTGATCGGCAGTGAAGCGGCTCAATTGTCGTAGGTGATCGGCAGTGACGTCGCTGTTTTGTTTTTTCCGTTGTTCATTGATGTCGTCCTCGCCGCGGC